ATTATCTACGGGCAACATTTAGAGTTAGCGTTTTCAAAGTAACACCATTAAAATTTTATCTAAAATTCTAACATTAATTTCTAACTTTATTTCCAAAAAATGTTTGGAGATGGGCAAAAAATTACTCCTTAGAGTGGAACTATTTTGTAAAAATTAAAGAATGGAGGGAGTATATAATTGCAACCAATATAGTACGGAGTAATTAAATAGAGTACGAAGTTAATTTAAATTTTGCAATATTAATTAAGATGTGAAAGGGGCACAATAATGTGTGTTTTGAACACGACCCTTGAAGATATAGGACCGGCCACATTAAACTAGTTTGAAATGGAAAGAGCAAGAGGGACACAAATTTGAGGAGTGCAAGGGGTAGGGCTGGGTTGGAAAAACCAAAAACCGCAAACCGAACCGAAATCGATCGAAACGAGCTAGAAAAAAACCGAATCGAAAAAACCGAAACCGAATGTAAAAAAAACTAAATCGAACCGTTAGTGTTTGGCCTGGTTACGTTTTGGTTTTCACTTTGAAAAACCGAACCGAACCGAATAAACCGAACTTTCTTAGATACTTCGCTTTATTTATATGAATATATGTGATATGTAGAAAAATCATAGAAATATAAATGCAAATAAATTACTAGTCGATTAAAATTATTTTCTTACCTATTAATTAAACATTTAGCCATATTATTATAAACTTTAAAAAAACTTAAGAATATGAACACCAATAGCTAATCCTAATATAGAATTATATTAAGATTAAAAATTGATACGCGTAATTTACATAAAAAATACTTTGATGTTATAATGAAAATAAAGTATTATATAAAAACAAATAAATTCTTCGTAATTGATTTTACATATGATGTCTTTGGAAAGTATTTGAAATCTTCTAAATATTTGTTGGGCACTCAACACATATTTTTTATGTAAAATTGAACCAAAAGGAACAATGCCTTCCGTTTGGTTTTTGTTTGTGTAAAATTCATACAAAAAAACCAAAGCTAACACTACATATTGTTATTATTTCATCGAGTAGGGTTTTTACAATTTTTTAATGCTTATAAATTTCTACTTTTATAAACCAAAAAAACCGAAATAAAAACCGTATAAAACCGAACCAAATAACCAACGGTTTACATATTTTTTTTGCAAAACCAAACCGAACCGAACCGCTAATTTACCTTCTGTTTTGTCTTTGGTTTTGGGTGAAAACTGAACTGCCAAAACTGAACCCACCCCTAGCAAGGGGATCTCAAGATTTTGTCACAAAATGCACATCAAGACTAATACAGATACATAATATTTGTTTGTGCACATACATTAAATGTTTCGTATGTGTCTGTATTGGTCTGAGCATGCATTTAGTGTCAAAATCTTGCCTCCCCTAGCATTTTTGCAGAAATTAAGGGCATCACCAATGCTTTGAGTTTTAAGACTCATGGCACATCAATATTTTACTATTTTCAGATTTTTTAAGCCTTTTTGTAAGTTACCACAATCTTCAGACTCTCTCAGACTTGTCACACCAGCTCTCCCTATGATGTTCCGTTCGTAAAATTGATGATTCCTACCCCTTCTAACCTCTCCAGTAACCCCTCTGCCCAGTCCCGACCTCAACTCATCCCCCAACCTACGTCAATTGCAACCCGCAAGTATAGTTGAATTTAAAGTCTAAAGTTTTGACCTCAAAGTCAACTAGAATTGCATGTGTGCAATTGGCGTATGGTAGGTGGGGGTCGGGGATGAGTTGGGGTTGGGATTGGACATGAGGTTTTCCGGGGGAGTTAGGAGGGGAAGAAATCAGTAATTTTACAAATGAAGCATCGTAGGTGTCTGAATCGGGAAAGCGGCTTTCGTGGCCACTGAAACCTAGTGGTCAACTTATTTAAGAATATAACCATTAAAAAGTCAACAACATTAAATATTGCAAAGTATTTATAAAAATGAGAGAAAATTATATAGAGTTAATTAACACACAAATTCAATTAAGTCCGTTTACTACTTACAGAGTCACACTTCTTTCATTTTTTCCTATTTTTGTTAGTAATTTATAAAATAGTCATGTCATCTCTAGTTTCGTAGATTTTTTAATGTAGTTTTTAAATATGTGGATTTTATTTTTTAATTTTAATTTCTTCCTAATTCTCAAAATAAATAAATTAGAATGAAAATAAAATTAGTCAAACCTCGTAAACCAAAACATGCTATTCAAAATGGGACGGAGAGAGTATAAAAGTATAAACGCGCATAAAGTGTAAATTGCATAAAATAAAAATAAAGTCACAACAAATATTTTTAGTTTTTTACATATTTGTTTTTGATACACTTTTAACATTTTTATTTTTAACAAGTTTTTTGTAAAACAATGATAGCTAGTTTTTATTATTAGAAAATAATTTTAATTGAATATATATGTCTGATTTTTATTAGATAAATTATGTTAGGAATTTTGTAAATGAGTCTCGAAAGTCAAAGACTCAGGTGGGGTTCCAGTGTCAACGGATGACACTCGCCCATTTTGGGGCACTTCCGGTACTCCGTTTGCCAAATTGGTGGTTCCTACCCTTCTAACCACCCTCCTAAACCCCTACCCGAACCCCAGCTCCAGCCACCGTACCCTAAGCCCCTCAAAATGTGTGGCTATTATGCATTATATGAAATGCTATTATGCATTATATGAAATGCATAATAGCGACACAATTGGAAGGAGCTTAGGAGAGGGGGCAGGGTGGGGCTGGGATAAGGGGTTGATGGGGGTGATGAAGAAGGATAGAAACTATTAATTTTACAAACGAAGCACGAGAAGTACCCCAGAATGACAGTGGCACCGATGTGTTACCGTACTCCGGTGTCACTAGAACCCTACCGCAAAAACTCCCATCCACACTACCTTAAAACTCTCATAGAGAATGCCCTAAGAACATCTTATTGATAACGCACTAAAGATGCTCTAATATTTCTGGTAGATGAGACTATTTGAAATGTAAAATGCAAAGACGTTGGGACCGGACTTCATTAATCGATCAAGCATTTTCCAACATTTACAACTAATGTAAATTATTATCGGTTTTCGTTTCGTCGTGAAGGATGATTTCAAGGGATACAGAAAATAATGTACGCAGTAGTTCGCTCCATTCAATCAGCTTTGACCCTTCATATTTTTCTTTCATTCGATTTTTCGTCGCCATACTTTGACCACTAGTTTTTGTATTTAAATATAAATGCAAATTATAAAAATATGATTTTTTTAAATGTACTTTTCAAAATGAATATTGATATTGAATTTATATCACAATTCAATTCAATCGTGGTTAAAATTTTAAAAAGTTAATAAAAAAAAGTCAAAAAGAGAAGAAAAGATAAAAGAGAAGGATAGAGTAGTTTTTGTCTATACAAGATACTTCTTAATAAATCTCTATGGATAAGAGTAAAAATATATGAAAATATCAAGATAGAAGTTTTAGGTATTTTAAGAACAAAACAGTAGTATAATGACAGTGAACCACCGGCGGACTGCCGGTCAACACCGGCGATCAGCGGTGGCACTTTGGTGTTCGGTGATGATGAATGACAGTGTTACAATAATAGTGCGGTAGTTACAGTATAACAATGTTGTAAATGGTAGTATAACAATGACAGTGTAAACCTCTATTTCGATCTAAAAAGATTTAGAACATCTATTTTATCATTTACATAAAAGATTTTGGTATAATTATTATTAATTATTACTCCATCCGTCCTAAAAAGATTTACACCTTTCAAAAAAATTGCGTCCCACAATCTCCTATCCATTTCTATTAGATCATCTCCAATGGGATGCCTACAAGAGGTGCTAGGAGGAGAGAGAGTGAGATGTTGTTGGATGTTATTGTTATAGGTGGGTGCTCATTATAGATGTCCAAGGAAGAAAAAGAGAGGGGGATGCTTCACATAGCATTGCTGCTTGAGGGGAAAGGGTTTCCATGCATTTATTTCTTTAGTTTTGTGATCCAGCGATTATGTGCCATGTGTCATATATATATTCAATTCTTTTTTGGCAATTTTCTTAAATAGCTCTCTTTTTAAATATTTCTCCAATGACTTTTTTTTGTAATTCCAATAAATATTTTAAGTAAATGTTTTTTTACAAATAGCTGCAAATTAGAATTTTTTTCTTAAAAAATGGATTTACATCCAAATGGGTCGTTTTTAGATTTTTTTGATATTGATGGAGAACAAACTAGTTTTAAAATATAAAGAATAATTTTTTTCAATATAATATTTTCAAGTTTTGTATAATTAATACTCCGTAATTTATTATATAACTAAATACTTATAATTAACAAAAAATAAAATATAAATATATTTTAGTGGACCTACTATATTAATTGAATAGATATTTAGATATCCAAATGAGATGGTACCATTGAAAGAATAAGATGTTGAGAGAGGTGCTAGAATAACATCTTTATAATGGAGCCCCCACTTGGGCATCTAATGAGAGATGTTGCCATTGTGGATGCTCTTAAAAAACCACTTTTACCCCTTACTTTTTCAAACCATACCTATCACATCATAACCTTTTCCTAATAATCTACACATCGCATCCTACTTTTACCCATCACATCAAGGTTATTTTTGGAAAGTCAACACAAAATTATCCCTCCCTTAATTTCAACTTTAGTCAAAACGTGTAAATCTTTTTGGGACGGATGTAGTAGTAGTATTATTATTATTATTATTATCATTATCATTATCATTATTATTATTATTATTATTATTGACCAAAATAAAAAAGGTGTTTGATCTGCTTGTGTTACTTGTGTACGTGCGATTTGAAAGAGCACCGAACTTTGGGATGGTCAAGGTAATTTGACCAAATCAGTTTCTTGGGTATATTTTTAAAAATTATTAATTTCAATTGAAGTCTAATAACTAAAATCTCAAGTTTCAAAAAGAGTTTGTAGAATAAAGAGCTGATTAACATGTATAAATACCCTCCGAGAAAAGACCAATTCAAACTAAAACATTACAACCAAATACTCGACCACCTTAAAAGCGAGGGAGACCATCACAAAATGATCCCCGCGACTTACCTCTCAAGAATGGGCTTATATGACTTCACAATCGGCGGCGTTAACGTCAGGGCACAGGTGATCGTCGACCCGAAGCTCGTCGACCATGCCCTGGCGGAACTGGAGTTGACCGCGGACAACCCGTTTGTCGGGTTGGATTTGAAGACATGCAGGGATGCATTGGGGAGGAGGAGATGTGCACTTCTCATACTATGCACAAACACCAAGTGCCTCATCATACAATTGGACCGCATGACCAAAAAAAGCCAAAACACTCGAATCCCTTGCGTTCTCGGGGAGTTTTTGTCCGACAAGTGTCTCTGTTTCGTGTCCCCGAACGGGTTCACGAAGAGGACGAGCGGTTTGTCGTTTCGCGAGAATGCAAACGTGGTGACCCTCACGCAGTTCTGCAGGCCAAGTCGCTCACCTCGTGTCTTTGAGTGTAAGAGGATTTGGGCAGTTGAGGTTGGCGAGTACGCGGCTAGGGTGCTTAAGAACCCAAAGCTTCTCAAGTGCAAGTCACTTGAGAAGCTGGGAGCCGAGGCTGGAGTCGACCTGAACACCACCGCCCTCTCGGACAGTGGTGCAAGGGCTAAATGGCCTTCGCCCGAGTGGGACTCTAAGCTTTTCTCTGAGGAGGAAGTGGTGAGCGTCATGTATGATGCGGTTGCGTGTTATCTTATTGTTCAAAAGCTCTTGGCTTCATGAGTAAAACTAAAACCTAATTGTCCAAACTCGATCATAGCCATGCATGGTTACCTATATATTGTTTTCTTTCAAGTACTAAGGGCCGGGGTGATTATTACTCAAGTGTAATTTACTATCTATAGCATGGCTGGTTTGAAACAACATAATATTATCAATAAGCATTTGAATATTTTTGTAATGGTGGAGATTAATTTGAAAAATGTTAGCTAAAGTACGTAAAGCACTACAATTATATTACTCCCTCAGTTCCACAAAACCCTTCCCCTTTCGTTTTTTTTGAATTCCCTAAAAAACTTCCACTTTCTATTAAAAAACCACTTTTACCCTTACTTTTTCATATCCTACCTATCACATCATAGTTTTTCACTAATAACCAAACTATCACATATTACTTTGGGGCAAAATTGAAAAGTCAACTAAAATTACATTTTTCTTATTTTTGTCAAAAGTCAAAAGTGGAAGGGTTTAAAGGAAGGAGTAGGTAATTTTTTTCGAAGATTGAAACTAAACGTCAAAGCCGTAGCCAAATGGGCACAAAGATTAGATGATTGTTGCTCTAATACTTTCTCTTTCCAATGGTAAAAGCCTAAAGCTTTGTACTAAACTCATTATTACTCCGGTGGAATTTTATATAAGAAATATTTGCACTAAATATCATATTAAAAGTTAAGTCATATACCTAAACAACATTTAAATTAAATCATAATCTGAACTCTGCTTTTACTAAATACAAATATGGAATTTTTAAGTTATTAGTCTAACCTAGCTTTTTGGACTACATGCACCCTCATCCAATCAGGCAGTAATATTGTATTATCCGTTCGGGACGAAGCCTTCATAAATTTGTTTTTGACACCTCACAAAAGGCCTTATTATAGATATTGATTGGTTTGGACCGATTTATTTTGGTTCTCAAATCTCAATTGATCTCTTCTTTCTCTGGTGTGGGAGATTATGTTTGCGCCCAACAATTATGAGCTTTGAATTTTAACTTAATTTTTGGGGTTTAGATGAAACTCTAATTTGGGGTTTCATGGCTTTAAGAGCACTGGAAATACTCGTGAAGCCCTGGGGTTTCAAAATTTTCTCTCTCTGCCACATCAGTTTTAACTTACCTCACAGATTCAGGCAATAACGCCACGGGCATTACGCCCATTATCAGTGCTCTAAGGTGCTTATGTTTTCACGGCCAAATTGCTTTGTGGATTTTAGGGTTTTTTTTGTAATAAAAGAAATACTCCCTCCATTTCTATAAACACGTCGTATATTGACTTTAGGAAAATACAAGGAAACCCAACAAAGCATAAACTTTAACAAGACAAGATATAAATTTTAAAAATACTCCAAGTAATTCTTCGTACCACCTTCTTCCTATCTTCATTCTATTTGACTTTTTCAAGTAAAATTAGACAAATTTTGTGCTTCCAACTCTAAATTTGTATTACATATTAGTACAACGAAATAAAATTTTGCAAATTTTTAACAAGATAAATCTAATAAAATTAATTTTAAAAAATAAACATTGTTTTTTTTAATTGAAGCTCAAAGTTCATTCTTTTTAGCTATAAAAAGTCAAACTGAATAAATACATTGAGACGAAGGATGTTTTTTTAAAAAAAGTCAAGGTCTCAAACACATCAACAATAACAAAAGTCTCCAACACAAACAAAAAAAATAACATTTCTCCTCCATATAAAAGTAAACAAACACCAATACAAAAATTCTAGAGTTACACACACAAAATTATATTCATTGAATTATCAGTGTTTCAATGTCAATGATCAAGTTATCAAAACATTCTCATTGTGTTTTTATATGCAACATCATCTTGTTCAGTTGCATCATCTTCTTATGTAGTTTCATTTGCCTCTATTATATTGTCCAACTCTTAACTAAACCCTGAAGTAGACAAATCCTCTCTGCATTTGTGTAATACAGTTAGCAAGAGTCTGAATCCTCCTTGCTCGCTTCAACCTATAGGGAGGATGTTGTACCTAGACCCACCCACCCTGAGTAAGAGAAAAAGGCTGCCTAATCCATGCTATGCCAAATAAGTAAACACCAATTCTACCCAAATTAAAAACACCATTCTATCCTAAGAAACTGACTGACTTCAAACTATGCCAATAAAACAAGTAAAAGCCACTCTCCTTTTATATAATAAAAAAAAGAAGAAGAAGAAGAAGCGAGTAATGAGACTTATTAAGTGGATGAACCTAAATGAGGACCAAATAGAATATGAGAGAAACACTGGGTATTTAGTTCCCTAAATGAGGACCAAATAGCCTTCCCCGATTGATTATTATGAAGTAAACCCTTTTTGTACACATCCAGTAATGATTTCTTAGCCAATGTCTCGTGAATCTGACTTCCCACTGCATTAAAATCTGTTTCAAAATAAGCACCAAAGGCTGGTTGAACCATCAAGCTGTCCCCTTTCCGTTTTGCTTGAGTCCTTCAATACCATTTCAATTTCCTGTTCAAGTAGCTCAGAAGATATATAGAAAGCTGTCTATATATATATATATATATATATATATATATATATATATATATATATATATATATATATATATATATATATATATATATATAGACACACACACACTAGCATATATAGTTCCACGCAATGCGTGGGTTATAAAGCCCGATGTTTTTTTTAATAAATTAGTACTTTAGTAGTACAATTTTTAGGGTTATGTGTTCTTGAGATTTAATGTTTTTATTATTTGTGACCTATATATGCTTATTTATAATTAAAAAATAGCATTTGAGTTATATAGGGTGGTGGAGTTTGTAAAAAGGTTAAATGAAGTCAGAACAATGTGCCAGGTTCGTAAAACCAACTTGTTATAAATCAACCTTGGGCACCTATTATGAAATACCTGCAACCTGCCCTAAGAAAAGACACGAAGAAAATTAAGAGCTGCCCATGCATTTTCCAGGTACCACAGCTTTGGCTTCTTCCTCTTCAAACCTCGCTGACCACTAAATATGGACAAAAGAAAGTGCAAATACATTAAAACTATAGGTAAATTATAATAAAACACCTCTACATACAGAAGAATACTTGTATCATGAAAATCAATTTGCATTAAAGCAATAGATACATAGATATGGCTAGATTGATAATGTTTGGAATTTTAGTTCTGACAATCAATAGTCTCAAGTACATGTATACATAGTATATATGAAAATATCTATCATGTTCCATAGTTGTCATACTACCAAGCATACTCTAATGTAGAAATCACCTCCTTCCTAGTTTGTATAGGAGTTGCTCCTGGTTGAAAAGGTTCTTGCATTTTCGGACTTGCATTGGAGTTTAGCAGTTCATCAGTTTATAAGATCAGAACTTTCATTCACTTCTGCAATCAGTCTAGCAAATTAAGGCCGGCCGGTCACTTTAAGGTTTTTTTTTTAAAGTATCTAAGAACCTTTGTTTTTTTTTCTTATGTAGACACGTAAAAAAAACAGCTTAGACCCCAGATCACACCATTCTACAATATGAGACTCGATCTATTAGTTTGCTTCCCTTGTTGAAAGGTTGAAAGTATTCATCCATATTCCTTTGAAGCATTTAAAGAAAACAACCTGCTACATACTCCCTCCGTCCCTCTGTATTTGTCCACTTTCATTTTTACACATCATCCAATGCACTTCTTTAATCCATTTTATCTTGTAATTTGTATATTAAAAAATTATAAAAATTATATATTAATAATCTATATGTTAAGCCAAATCAAACAAGATCACACATGACTATATTTAGACTTACACATTAAGAGAATTTGATGAGTCAAAGTGCTTAGATGAACAGTTCCAAAAGTCAAACGTGGATAAATACAGTGGGACGGAGGGAGTATTCACTTTTTCCAAAAGTGGAAAATCTTGGTTTAGGAGAGATTTTTTAAAAAGTAATACTCCCTCCGTCCAAGATTAAAGTTCTCATTTTGACTTGGCACGAAGTTTAATAAAATATGAAATTTACTTTGACTTTTCCTGAAATACCCTTCATCCCTCATCCCTTCTCTTCTTTTCTTGTCCACCCATTTGCTTCTATTTGTGCAATGGAATGCCCCTCCCACCCATCTCTGCCATTATCACCGACGGCCGAGCGCCGCCTCACTTCTCGCCATCACCTATGCCTGCTCCTTCAATTTAAAAAAAAGGCGAAGAAGGAAGAAACTTGGGGCTCCTTCCCTCCGAGCCAGCACGCCATCATCAATCGGCGCCTGTACTCTGCCACCACCTCCGATTTCTTTGTTGACACTGACCCCAATCTGAATCGAAATTCTTAGATCTGACGGAGATGGACAAGAAAGAAGAAAAGAAAGAAGAAGAGTTGAAGATGGATTGGCCGTTGGTCTGTGGGAATTGGAGAAGAAGAAGAAGAGATCGGACCACCCTTTTACCTCCGACCACCGCCACCCCCTCGCTGCCCCACCTTTACTCCGATCGCTGCTTCGCGCGCTGCTTTCAATTTACAAGAAAAAATCAGAAGAGCAAAGGAGAAGAAAGAAGTAAAACAAAGAAGAAGAAGGGAAAGGAAGATGATGATGACTATTGATGAGTACAGGATAAGAAAAGAGAGAAGAAGAAGAAGAGAGAAAAGAGAATGAAAGAAAAAGTGACGGTTGGAAAGGTAATGGATGGGGAAGGAAAAAGAAAAGGAAAGAATGTGGAGTGGGTGGGGAGGGTAATTTAGACTTTTTAGTATAAAAAACTTTTCAAAAATAGAAATGGGAACATTATTTTTGGACGGATGAATAAGGAAGGTGAGAACTTTATTTATGGACGGAGGGAGTAATAAAATAAAATACTCCCTCCGTCCGGTGAAAATTTTCCCATTTGGACTTTTTCTCATTTTTTTGAATGGTTGACTTATGAGTTGAAATGGTCAAAATGCCCTTAAAAGGGCTAGGGAATGAACGATGAAGCTGGCCGTCCTGGTTCTCACCTTTACCAGCTCCCACCGTCAATTGAGCCCCGCCACTACCCCTTCCCCACCCGTGCTCCGACTATCTTCCCTAGCCTCCACCACCACCGCTAGCCTTACCCTTGCCACCACCATTAGTCCTTTAATCGCCGCCAGCCCCATCACTGTTGGCATCCCCACCATCATCGTCAACCCCAACCCTGCCTCATGTACCACAATGGCACAGATCTAAAA